AAGACGCCTCCTGGTTTGGTCTTAGGAGCCCTCGGGAGGCCCTGGAAGCAGCTCCGAAGAAACCCGCAGGCACTGAAGGCGGCCGCGGGAGAAAACGGAGCGCAGCGCGTCCTGGGAGGCACCTGACGGAACAAGGGCCATCATGAAATGTTGGGGGCCTTCCGCTGGCGACCTCCTGGAGGCTCATTCGCCGATTGGCCACCGAGGCCCTCGGTCCACCAGGGGATCGACGGAGGGAAAAGACAGCACCTGGCGTGTTCCAGGATGCTGTCTCCGAAGTCGGAAGCGGGAAGGCGAATGCCTCGAAGTAAGGATTGCATTCGGTTATTCGAGGTGGTGCACCTCCAGGGAGCCTCTGGGAAGCCGCTAGGGAAGCCTCTGGGGGGCCTCTTTGAGAACCTCTGAGGCGCCTGTTTTGTGCCTCTGGGCCTTCTTGGGGGATGTTGGACTCTTCTCGGAGAGGTTAACTGAGGTCTGGAGAAGGCTGTCCCACAAGGCAAGCGTGAAGTCGGACTCACAACCGACCAGAACGGCCGCGCCAAACGATAGTTGGGTGATCTTGAACATGTCCAACATGCCCCCTGTTCAGTAAGATACCGGAGCAACATTGAAAGCACAAATGTGCCTCTTCTGCATGGTGCCAGCCCTGAGCCGAGATGGCACTTGAGCCAAACTGACAACGGGAGCCGTCTTCGGAGGCTCTTGGGCGCCATCAGGGCTGTCTTGGGACCCTCGGGGGCTGCTCGTGGGCCTCTTGGAGTCCGTGGGGGTCGCTCTTCGGAAGCGAACAGGGAAGCTCTTCCAAGCAACAGGTTGTCACACCCAGATGCTCACAGACAGGTTCCTCAGCGAGACGTGACAGGCTTTCTGCTGGGCCCTCGTTTTGAAAAGACAGCGCCCCGCGTCTCCCACCTCCTCCGCCCCATCCTCCCTCTCTCCCTCCTCCCGTCCGTGCCGTTGTCCTCACACGCTCATGGCACACCCCTTGCACGTTTCATGGCCCCACAGGGAGCTCCACCGAAGGCCCCAGTGGCAGTGGCCACATGCGACCCCCCCCCCGCCCATCTCGGAACACCCGTCACGCGATTCGTGGCCCTCTAGGGGAGCTCCGCGGCAGGCCCTCAGGGCAGCGGCCACGTGCGCCCCCCCAACCCTCACGGGGAGCTCCGCCGAAGGCCCCGGCGGCAGTGGCCACAAGAGCTCCCCCCCCCACTCTTCGGGACAGCCCTCGCGCGCTTCGGGCTTTCGGGAGCGGCCAAGAGGGGGGTGTCCAAGAGGGGGGGGGTGCAAATCATGACTGGCGGCATGTGCGCGGCCCGGCAGGGGGGGCCAGGGACGTGATGAAATAAGAAGGGGCGCCATGAGATCTACTGGGGAAATATCATGGCCCACGCCATGATATCCACCCCCCCCCCTAGTCATCCCCCCCCCTCTTTTCCGCCCCCGAGGCTCGAAAGACGGCGGGCAGAGCGCGGCCGCGGGGGGCCTTGTCGGTGGTGGCGTCGCGCGAGCGCTGCCGCCTCGCAGAGCCTGGCGCCGACCCAGCTTCGGTCGCGCGGGCGGGCGCACGAGAAGGGGAGGCCACCGGGACGAAGTCAGGGCAAAGGCGAATACAGTCGGGGCGTTGACCTAAGGAACCCTACATAAGGAACGAGGCCCCCTTTTTCCATAAGTTCACCTTCCATTTCCCGTCGAAAACACCAGGAAAGCCTGAGGCAAGCTGTGAAACACTTGGGGAACGCGGAGCCCCTCCCCAACAAAAAGGGTTCCTTCTTCAGGGCCCCGACTGTACTCGGTCAGAGGCAACTCGGGACCTCTGGGAGGTGCAGGGTCTGGAGGATACATATCGGACGCCGTGGCCGCTCGAGGGTGTTCTTGAGCACTCCGGGAGCAGTCCGGAACGCTTCGGAGCGATTCGTCCTGGTCCCGGGCCTGTCCGAGGTGCACTCCAGGCGACTGGCTAGACCAGCAAACGCATGCATCGGCAAACGTTTGTCCAAAAGCCTTGCCAAGGCGCAGATCCGGCCTTCAACATGCAGCCTCGTGAGTGCGCAGGGGAGGTAGACACACTACCAGAGTCATGGAACCTTCGGATGTGACGCTGGGCCACAGCGAGAGTAATCGGTTGTTGAACAGCCAGCGCAATCGAGGCTTCATCGTTGACCACCTCTGTGAACGTATCAGAATAACCCTGGTCGTCGAGATCGAAGTCCCCTGGTGCCCAGGGAGGCAGATCCTGGGCGCCCCTCGCAAATCCATTAGCTCTTGATTTGCGAGAAGCGCCCGTGGGCGAACTGAAGGGCCGAAAGGAAGACCAAACGAACCGTGGACCCAACACGGTTCTTGCTCCAGCGTTCTCTGTGATGCCCGAGCTCCTGAAGAAAACTCATGATGTCCAGCGGCGCCCTCGGGGGAACCGATTCCGCAATTGGCAGAACGATCGACAAGGGCCGGTTTTTGAGCCTGGTGGTCACAAGCGTCGGATGTCTGGGGTCTGCGGCGCGAAAAGTGCGCTCCTGCGTCTGCGCCTCCTCCTCCGCTCCTCTGGAGCCATAGAAGCGACGTGCCCGACCCGGAGGCCACGCCCGCCAAGCCAGAAACCAGGAACGAGGAGACGAACGCGGGAGGGAGATGAGGAGGGAGTCGAGGAGACGAGGAGACGAGCCAGAAACAAGAAACGAGGAGACGAACGAGAATTTGAAGGGCGGGAGGGAGATGAGGATGGAGACGGGGATGGAGAAGGTAAGGGAAGGGGTGCAGGGACTCCTCGAGCTCGAGCCGTCAACCTCTGCCCTGCATAGAGGTGCAGCCGTCGTCGCCCCCCCGCCCCACCGCCTGGCGTGCGACGGGGGGGGACCTTCGGGAAAACGGCCCGACGGGCGTCGACGGGGCCAGCGAGCGGGACGAGAAGGAGACGACACGAAGGGGGACCGAAAAGGCCTCCTCCTCCTCCTCCTCCTCCTCCTCCCCCTCTCTCTCCTCCCTCCTCCTCCCTCCTCCTCCTCCTCCTCCCCCTCCTCCTCTCCTCCTCCTCCTCCTCTCCCTCCTCCTCCTCCTCCTCTCCTCCCTCCTCCTCCCTCCCCTCCCCTCCTCCTCCTCTCCTCCTCCTCCTCTCCTCTCCTCCCTCCTCCTCCTCCTCCCCCTCCTCCTCCTCCTCCTCCCTCCTCCCTCCTCCCCTCCTCCCCCTCCTCCTCCTCCTCCTCCTCCCTCCTCCTCCTCCTCCTCCTCCTCCTCCTCCTCCTCCTCCTCCTCCTCACAATTGATGGTCCGCCGAGGGGGGGACAAGTGGGTGGAAGGTGGAGGAGGGAGGGGCCTGCCACCTCCCGGCTGCTCTCCCGTCCCTGGAGGTTAGGTCGAGGCGAAAGCGTGGCAGCCGCGGCCGGCCCTCTGAGGCAGGACTCCATGTGATGGCCAAAATTCTGGGAAAGGGTCGGAGTTGGGAAAACGAGTGCGCTCGGTGATGTCCAGGCCCGCGCCCGCGCCCCCAAAGTTAACTACCCACCAGGCAGCCAGGCCGTGCATAGAGTAGGTCATGAGGGGGCCCTTCGTGGCGGAGAGGGTCTGGGAACGGTCGGCGACTGTATTCGAAAGCCGCTGGGGGCGCCGCCGTGTGGGTGAGGAGGGCTTGCACGGTTCGGTCGTGATGATGGTGCTGGTGCTGGTGCTGGTGCTGGTGCTGGTGCTGGTGCTGCAATGGGTACCATGGTCAGTGGGTTCGTAGGTTGGGTCAGGTAGAACAGCCAGAGGTTGCGAGGCGAACGGGAGCCAGCTGAGAGGTGGAGAGTCGTCCGTCGGAAGACTTGTGGAGGCATGGGAAAGCTGCGCCCCGCGAGGGCGGCTGCAGCCTAAGAGGTCTGACGTTGGGAGATGCGGCGTTGACGCTGGTGCTCCTCGCGGCGAGGGTGGCCCGTGCCACGGACTCCGCAGGCAGCACTGAGGCAGGGGCTCGGAGTTGCCGAGCTGCTGCCTGGGTCGTCGCTGCAGGTGCGGCTGTTTCCCGCGCTCGGTGGTCGCACAGCCCTGGGTGGGGGGTGCGACGGGTGGGCACACCGTCAAAAAGGTTGAGTCGAATCGATGGGGTTCGAGGTGGTGGTCGTGGCTGCCGTCGCTGAGCCCCGTGCCCCCAGCTGGGCCGCTGCAGGACTGGTTCTGGCAGGCTCGACGGTGTGGAGTCCTCTCGCAGTACGCGGTGCGGTGCATGAGGTCTTAGACTGTCCTGGGGTGCTCGCCCAAGTCCTCGGTGTCCACGCCGAGGTCCATTCGACCATCGCCGCTGTGGTGCTGGTGGCGAATGCATCATCGTGCTCCTCGAGCATGCGGCTTGAGTCCCTGTTCTCCGCGCTGTGGCGCTGTGAAGCGCCCCCACCCCCGTTCGTGCGCCTGGTGGGTCGCTTCGTCCTGCGACCTGTTGCCCCACGCCCGGTAGCCCGTGGGCGTCCACGCTCTGGGGGTTGGGCGGCTCCCCAGTCCATGTCATGCGACTGTGCTCGCCCTTTGCTGGTCGACGGGCGTGTGCCCATGTACTTGTCCTCCGTGCTCCAGTCTTTGTAACCCTTGCCGGCCAAGATGATGTTGTCTTTGGAGTGGACCGCGGCCTTCCTGAAGAAGAGCGCGACTGGGAAGCATCCTTCTTGTACCGAACCCTGTGCGTGTCCGTGGGCATCTTGGCTTCGATGTACGCTGTCCATACTCGGGGTGGTCTTGGTGGTTTCGGTGTTGGTAGTAGCGGGCGCGATCTCTTCTTGCTTGCCGACCTGGCCCTTGCTGCCGCCGGTTGCCTTCGTCGGGGATCGCGTCTGTGGGTAGTTGGCCGCCCTCGACGTTGACGTTGGCGCGCGCAGATGACGGTCCTTTTGGCTGCGTCGACGGCAGTCGGATGGCCGGCGGCGTCGGCGTAGCCGCGTGAATGTCGTTGATGTTCATGTTCGTCGGCGATGTTCGGCTTCCCTTCGCTGTCGGCGTAGGGGGATAGCGATCGGGGGAGCCCTGTAGCGCAGTGGCTATGTGAGGTCGATCGGCGCGTGCGCATCGTCGGCAGTGTCCGTCGTTGGCGCGGCGACCGCGGGGCTGTGGGTGCAATTCTTACCTGTGGCGGCTTGGAAGCGAATGCGCTCGCAGCGTGTGCTTTTGACTGCTGCCGCTCGTAGGCGGTGAGGCCCGCGTCGGTGCGTGGGGACACCTGGTCGTAGACGTCTTGCCATTCTCTGCTGTCGCGCGTGGTGCTGTCGGTGGAGGTGCACTTACCGCATTTCCCGTCTCGGGTTGCCCATTATGCGCCATCATGGTCCACAGTCCCTGCAGACTGCCGTAGGTTCGCTTGAAGCTTGAGTCGGGGCGTCGGAGCTGGGTTCTGGGTTGTAGTCGTGCGCGCGCGGTTTGTCCGCGACGTCTTGGACGTCCCGACAATGTTTCAAGATCAGTCTCACTTGGCGCACCGGACTGTTACATCTACGAACAGCCGCGGACAGCCGACGCGAAAAGAGCGAGGAGTGCTTCCTCTCTGCAGGAGTCGACGGGCTGGCCGCAAGAGCCGCAAGCGCCAGGCTGCTCGTGGCGGGCGCCTCGAGCGTCGCAGGTCTGGCAACGCCACGTCCAGCTGTCCCAGCTGGGGACGGGGACCTGCCGCGCCATGTGGTAGCCGCACTCGGTGTGAATCCTCCTCCTCCTCTTCCTCCTGCTGCTCCTCCTCCTGCTGCTCCTCCTCCCCTGCTGTCTAGAGCCTGCGGCTCCAAAGGTCCCAGGGGTCCCCACCGCTTCCCTGAATGCGCTTTCTGCGTCTCAGGCGCATGTCAGCAAGCCCGAGAACGGGTTCCAGGTGCCGAGGTCGAGGAACAACGGCGGAATTGAAAATCCTGTAGGACAGTGCCTTTCGTAATCCCAGCCGTCGGTGCTCCCGCGCCACCGTTGGGCATTTGGGACACGAGGCGCAGCCAGACTGGCCCAGTCAGGAATGACTCCAGTGGCCCAGCCTGGCAGGGACGCCGACAGGAACCCGCGCACAGCGCGCCAGGGTGGACGAGGGTGGATTACGGTTGCGAGCAACGAGTGCGAGCGGCCTTGGGCTCGCGTGCTTCCTGAGCACGGCGGACTGTCCCGCAGGACCGAAAGGCGCCCGCAGGACCAGCGCAGCCAATCAACCAACCAGCCGCCAACCAAGAGAGAGAAGGAGCAGAGAGAGGCAGGAGCATGGAATCCCCACGCCGAATCCGCCGGCCTGCGGCCACCGACAGTGAAAGTACTCTGCTGTGCCGCCTGGGCACTGCCAGGCAGTGAGCTCGCTATCATAGGAGGCCGCAGAGGCCCCAAAGCGTAGAGGCCACACAGGGGCCCGCTCCCAGGACGTTGCTGGCCCCCAAATCGCTATGATATTGGGGGGCGATGAAGAAATCAGATCGGGCGGGCCCTCAATCCGCGCAACATGAATCCTCGGAGCGCTCCCAAGGTCCAGACGCACCGGTTGTTCGAGCTGCGCCCCGCCGTGGTGACGAGGAGGGCCCCCGAAGGCAAAAAACCTCAGGGTGCGAACCTCCCCCTCCCTCCCCCTCCCCCATCCGTGATGGTGCGTACTCTTGACCGTTCCGTCGAACAGGTTCCGCAGCCTGAATGTAGCCCACGGTAGGCCGATCGGCGCAGTAGTGCCGCCGTCTTCACACCCTCGTCGAGCTCTCGTCGATGAAATGGGCCTGGGTCCCCGCGGGGGCGAAGAGAACATCAAAATGGTAAGGGAAGGGTCTGCTGACCCTCCCCCTCCCCCCTCTCCCCCCTCCCCCCCCTTCGCCCTCCCCTCCCCCTCCCCCTCCCCCCTCTCCCCCCTCCCCCCCTCCCACTCCACCCCCCCCCTCCCCCTCCCCCCCCCTCCCCCCTCCCACTCCCGCCCCCCCCCCCCGCTGCTCTTCCCCGTGGCGCGCCCCCCGCCTGGCGCGTCTGGGAAGTGGATCGCCCTGGGGGCCCCGCGCGGCGCTGCGCGCGCGGCCCGCCACCCCCGACCCCCGGCCGCCGCGGGCGCCCGCGGCCGGGAAGGGCGGAGGGGGGGGTGGGGAGGAGAGGGAGGGGGGGGAGGAGGAAGGAGGAGTGGCGAAGGGGGGAGGAGAGGATGAGATGAGGAGGGAGGAGGGGGGGGAGGAGGGAGGAGGGAGGGGGGGAAGGGAGGAGGAGGGAGAGAGAGGATCACTGACCAAGCGCTGCCAGGTCTGCGAGTGGGCCGCCATCGTACTGTACCTCGGGTACGTCGTGGCCAGGCCGAGGCTCTGCCAGTGCGGAGCACCCAATGCTTGGGGCGCACCCCAACTCGCAGCCTGCTGCGGGGGGCCAGTGCCAGATTTGGGCCCGCAGGGGAGTGCCTCCCTCCCGCAGCCTCCTCCTCCTCCTCCTCCTCCTCCTCCTCCTCCTCCTCCTCCTCCTCCTCCTCCTCCTCCCTCCACTCCTCCTCCTCCTCCTTCTCCCCCTCCTCCCCCTCCTCCTCCTCGCTGATCTAGCCCCTGCGAGCGCCCCAATGACCCCACAGCTCTCGTCTCTGGACAGTCTCAATACTGGTGGTATGATTTCAATTGTTCTGCTATTTTACGAGAACCGCCGTGGATACATCGGGACATATTAAGGGATCGGCCGCCTGCGGCGTGGCTATGCGTTTTGACGCGGCACGAACCTATCGGAGTGATGGGGCTCGCGTGCGCGAATCCATTTCAAATAACACGCGTGCCGGCTGGTATGGGGTGAGCAGACGTCGCTGCGTTGCCCTCCTCCTTCCGGGGGGACGGCGAGCTTTTGTGTCGGCTGCCGCTTCCCAGGCCCAGAACACCCCTTCATTTCCATCCACGACTGGGAGGGCATGCTACTTCATTGCGCCAGAGACATGTCTGCTCGTTCGCACGACACGTTCCTTGAGGATCTGGCTCGGCTTCCATTTGCTCGATTCGTTGCCGCTCTTTGCCGCCCCGTTGCTGGCTGCGGTTTGGGCATGTCAACTCAATGCCTCCCGTTGCCACCCTGCTGCTGGCTGCGGTTTCTCGATGACCAGTTCGTTGCTGCGCGTTTCCGCCACACTGCCGCCCCGCATTGCGTTGCACCGAGTTGCAGTGTGTTGCGTTCCTGCGTGCTGCTCGGCAATGCGTTGCGTTGCTATTCCATTGGTTTGCACGACGCTGTGTGGATTCGCATTGCGTGCAATTGCTTTGTATGGCAGTCCGTTGCTGTTCATGGCCTTGGATCGCGTCGCATGCCTGCTCATAGTTTCGCATGGATTTGCATTGATTTGCACTGGCTTGCGTGGCCGGTTTTTGCTTTCCATGGATTTGCGCGGCGCCGAGTATCTTGTAGAGTCCACTGTCTTGGGCCAACGCAGCAATCACATTTGAAAGAAACACAGTGCTGTGATCGAATGTTACAGTATCGTGCCCGGGGCTGGTGTTTGAAAACGGCCACTCGGATAGGTTTTCACTGGACCAAGCCCTCGGATATAATGTGTATGTTGTTACACACACACACAAACTCCCCGAGCAGTGTTTGCATTTAGGGGTTCTTCCCTGTTTGCAAGAAGGAGGTGGGCCCGTCTGGCGGTCCGGCGGCTCCGTGCTCGCCGTCGCCCCCCCGTCGCCGCCTCGTCGCCGCCCGTCGTCTGGGCCTGTCTGGCGGCCTGGTGTCTCCGTGGTCGCCGTAGCCGCCCCGTCGTCGCCTCGTCGCCGACCGTCGTCTGGGCCTGGTTGGCGGTCTGGCGGCTCCGTGGTCGACGTCGCCGCCTCGTTGCTGCCCTGTCGCCGCTTTGCGACTGGGCCTGCATTGCTTGGCATTGCTTTGCGTTGCTATGTGGCGCACATGCATTCTCCTCTCCAGCCTCCGGAATTATCCACCCCCTGGGAACAGATGTAAAACACATAAGTTTCTGACCCAATGTCAATCCTACGTGTGAATTCGTACTATCCCAGCCCAACCGGCATCGGTCCGTTCCCCCCGCCATCCTCTGGGAAAGAATATGCGCGCGCACTCTTTATCAAAAATGACGAGTTGTCCATAATCCTTTGCAGAAAATGAAACGAAATTCACACGCGCGCAACGTCGCGCGCGCATGCCGAAATCCTTCGGGAACCTTTTCTGATTTTGGAAAGGTGTCAGAATCGAATGTCCAATAAACATATAAGAGCACAGGGTTTCGCAACACGGATTCTCAACAAAAGCGTGCGCGCGCCCTCTTGCGAAGTCTGAACAAAACCACATGTTTCAACATGCTCATAAAATACTACCGAACAGGCTTCGCCCGCGCGCATGTCGAAGTCGTTCGAACGCCCTTGCGCGCGTGCCGTTGCGAGAACCCTTTGCGAAAAAATGGAACGAAGTGCACACGCGCACGTTCTCGCCCGCATGCCAAAATCCTTCCTAAACCGTTGGATCCGGAAGGATTTCAAAATCGAGTGTCAAAAAATATGCAAGAAAACACCGGGTTCCCCACCACGGATTTTCAACAAAATCCTGCGCGTGCGCTCTTGCGAACTCTTGGGAAAAAAAAACACACATGTTTCAACATGTCATTAAATACTACCAGACGGGCTTCGCGCGCGCATGTCGGAATCGTTCGAACGCCCTTGCGCGCACGCTGGGGTGGCACGACCCGTGTCAAATAATACCATTCGAGCCACTCGCGCGCGTCTGCCGCGCGCGCATTTCGAATTCCTTTCCAAACCTTCATCGCCGACGCACAAACGCCGTCAACGTCGTTAACGTGAGCGGCATCGGCGCCGCCATCGCCACCAGCATCATCATCACGATCATCATCATCATGATCATCAGCATCATCATAGTCATCGTGTCTACAAGTCTCGTCACCAACATCGCCACTATCATCGTCATCGTGTCTACCATTGTCGACGTTGCCATGATACCGCACCCGCCCAAGCCACCGATTCACACTCAAGTGCCCGCTGGGATGTGCCGAGCGGTCAGCACCACCGCGGCCGCGTCGGTCGCGCCTTACTACCTGACCGCAGCGCGCGCGCATGCGCGGGCTGGCGCGGCCGCAGAGATGCACCAGCCAGCGCCCAGCACTCATCGCAATCGCCGCCGCATGAGGTTTGCAAACCAAGCTGCGAGTGGGTAGGTGGGATGTTTGCGCGAGCAGTGGAGTGGACAACTCACTGCGAACAGACATGAATTCCCATTTCTAAGAAATACGCTCTACCCCCCCCCGAATTAACGCACCCCCTTTTCGTACTGCAAGCTACCTATGATTCTGCCCCATCGCCCATCCTAAAGATGAGTCCATACTATCCCAACAAGGCCGATATCACTCCCCCCCGCCATGCTCGGGAAAAATTGCTATACGCGCGCTCTCGTTTATCAACAATCAAAGTTTTTCAGAACCCCTAGCAAAAAAAGTGAACGAAGTGCACACGCGCGCGTCATCGCGCGCGCATGCCGAAATCCTTCAAGAACCTTCGGTTCCGGAAGGATTTCAAACTCGAGTTTCCCCAAAAACTTAAGAAATAACATATGGTCTCGCAACACTGATGTTCTAAAAAAGTTTACGCGCACGCCCTTGCGAAAAACAGACGGGCTTCGCGCGCACATGTCGAAATCTTTCGAACGCCCTTGCGCGCGTGCGGTTAAGAGAATCCCCTGCAAATAAGACGAAGTGCAGACGCGCGCGTCGTCGCGCGCATGCCGAAATCCTTCAAAAATCTCCGGATTCCGATTTCGGTATGTCAAACATATACAAAAACACAAGGTTTCGCAACACGGATGTTCAACAAAAGCGTGCGCGCGCGCTCTTGCGTTGTCGTCGTCGTCGTCGCCGTCCTCCCTCCTCCCTCGTCGTCGTCGTCGCCGTCGCCGTCCTCTCTCTTTCTTTGTCGTAGTAGTCGTCCTCTTTGGCGTCATCGTCGTCCGTGGTCGTCCTCCCTCCTCCCTCGTCGTCGTCGTCGTCCGTCGTCGGCGTCTCGTCGTCGTCCCGCCGATTTCGTCGCCGTGGTCGTCGTCGTCC